GGCCCTTGGGAGCCAGGTAGGTTCGTTAGATACGTTGTTTCAAGTGTTGACTCATGCGATTGGGATTATCATCAACGTCGAGCAGAGACAGCCAAGTATCTGAAGATATTGATGTTGATATCGATGTTGATGCCGAGAAATCTCTGCGTTAAGTACGAAAACAAAAATCCCTGGTTATGCGGAGAAAGTTGGAGAAGTTGGAGAAGTTCAGCTCGCAGCTCGAGATGTCCCGATCGGGAAGGGCGGTGACGCCATCCGGGGTTCTGCCGAGGTAAAACAAAATGCGGCTCAAGTGTTATTCAGACATTCTAAGGGGTAAAAGACGATCATTTTATAGACGATGAGAGATGGAGAAAAAGGTGGAGACCAGGTAGTGAAGTGAAGATGTCGTGTCTTGAGACTTTCATTATATGCGAGATGGCTTAGTAACTTTCATCATATATAGATAGAAATCAATGTAACTATAGGCTGTCCAAATGTCCCCTTTACCACCGTACCCAGATATGTAGATATCTTTGCAAGCAGCCTCCGCATCCGTGAGAGTGATTGTAAAAGACGAACTCCAAGTCTATTAAGGGCATCATCATATTGCTCAAGCTTTTAAAAGTCAAATTCCTTCTTAAATACCGAAACGTCCATTCCGCTGACCACCATATCACTGAGATCCCGACGACCCATCTGGCTAAACACTCGCCGTAAGGTATCGTACAGGTTCGTGCTCTGGTTCTGGCTCACATGGATCATGCGCTCGAGTTCAGCGTCATCGATACCGTCAACGCCCTCGACAATCTCCCTTGCTCGTTCACGACCCTCTTGCTCAACCACCTTGTGCATTGACAGAGCTCCAAGTAGATGCTGAGCTGCCTCTGGGTAGCAGCCGATGTTGATGCAAGATACGCCTAGGTTGTAACGGGCGCGGACAAAGTTAGGGTTGATGGTGAGAGCCTTCTCGTAGGCTTCGATGGCTTCCTCCGATCGCCCGGAGTTGGCAAGGGTAGCCCCAAGCCTGTTCCAGAGCAGATGTATCTGTCCCTTCTGGTTCGAACTGCCTGATTCTGTTGAGGCCAGAGCGGCTGAGAAGCAGTCTACTGCCTTGTCGTATTCCTCTGCGCCGTAGAACAGCACACCCAGCCCAACTTGTACGTCAGGGTCCATGTGCTCGCCATGAGGTGAGAGCTGGGCCGCCTTGATGAAAAGGTCCGTTACCTTCTCATGTAGCATGTGTCTATCGGTAAAGCCCATCTCCGTCTCTGTTCCGACTTCATTCGGGTCGATAACTTGTGGATACTTGACGGACAACCATCGCTCTAGGGTTCGGTAGGCTGTCGAATCATAGCCTTCGTTGGTGTAGGAAACTGCTAGGCCCATGAGCGCATCGAGATTGTTAGGATCCAGCTTCAAGGCTTGTTCCAGCGCTCTGATAGCCGGGCTTTCTTTCTCGTTCTGGGCCTGCGCAGATCCAAGCAGTGTCCATGCTTGGACGTGAGTCGGGTCTTTCTGAACAGCCGCCTCGAAGGCAAGGGCAGCTAGGGATAGGTTTCCACCTTCTTCCAGGATGCGTACTCCCTCTTCAAATGGGTTGCCAACAGCTCGGAATGCGTTCTGATCTTCAAAAAGATAATCCCCAAGTTGGGGGTCTCTGTAGCTATGGGTATTCAAACCACCGTCAAAATTCTCCCATTCGCTGAAATCGCCCATCGCCATGTTCTCGATTTTCTCGTCTTCGTTCACCAGTTGTCTAGTTGCAGCGGTTTCAGCTTGAATTCCTCTCCATACAATCTCAAAATCAGCGAAATCGTGCTCTTCTGCGGGAACTGACCTATCCAAATCATCAAGTTCTTTCTCCATGGCAGCATTCGCCTCTTCATCCAAGTTCGCTTGACCGGAAGCATCTATCTCGGCAAACTGGGCTTCCCAATTTTGATCGTCTAGTTCAATCATTCTTCCTTTCCCCTTGATGTCTTGTTGTTGTTCCATCGGCTGCTGTTGAGGCTGCTGTTGCATTGCCATAGGCATATATCCGGGACCCATCATGCCCATTTGACCCATCTCCATGCCATATCCTCTAGCCATTGGTCCCTGATATTGTGACATCATCGGGCTCGCTGCTCCTGGTACGGCACCCGCCCTGCTTTGTTGAAACCGGGCGAACTCTGATGCCTGAAAAGTGGTGTTGCCCTTCATCATTCCCGGGGCTGGGGATTGGAAAGCAGCCTCCATACGAGCTTGTTCGCCAGGGTCGAATTCTGCTGCCCATGCGGGTGACCCTGTTCTTTGAGGGGAGGGGTGGAAGTTCTCTAGCTCTCTACGCATCTGCTCCATGGCGAAGGGCTGTGCCGGTCCCTGCATCTGATCGTTTTGTTTGAGGAATTCGTCCATCATCTAGACCTCAGAATGAATAGAAAGCATTAGCTACTTGGTTTCTGTTAATAAAATAATACTTCCATCACCACTTACATGATCCTGTCCCCCCATCATTCCTCTTGACCGCATCGTCTCCTGACGACCAGGGCCAGCACCCGCCAGCCTATCCCGCTGGAGAGACTTGTCATCTTGGACATGTTTTGTGAATTGGGTAAGCGGATTTCCTGCTGTAGAGCACTCGGAACCGCCTAAGAACGACATCTCTCCAGTATATATGTGCAAGGAAAGCCGGGGAGCTCGGGGTAGATGGCGGCTGGGATAGATCGGGTATAACGCAAGCTATTAACGCTCCGAATGAAGGGCTGAGGACTAGATCTTTGAAATGAGAAAACAAATAATCGACTATAAGACAACGGGTATATGGCGTTAAATGATTTAAAAGGGAGCGTGGATGTAAAATGAGATGTTGTATCTTCTGCTGAGCTGGCGTGGGGAACTTAACTAGTTGCAGGCAAAAGAACAGTTTCTTTCCTCGGCCTTTTTTTTGGAGGCAAAAAGCTGCTTACTCAGCGAGCCGAGGAACAAATCATGTGACGCGCTTGCTTATCAATCTGTAGATAAAAGACGATAAGGTGAGCGCGGAGCTTGGGGACGGCGATATGGAATATGATAATGATATATAATAATGGCCAGGTAGATACAGGAGAGGACAAAAGCAGCCCGTGAGACACCTCATGCAAAAAACTCGTCAGGAAAACAGTAAAACCTTTATATACTACAGCAGCTTTGAATCAGTTTTTGAAAGCCTGGAAAAGGGACAAATGGGTTCATAGTAAAAACATTCGAGAAGAGGGAGGGAGGCAGGTAGGATTATGGCGCAAGGAGAGTAGGGAGGTCATCGAGGTCGGTTTGTTCCGGGCATGAAAATGAAAGAGACATGGACAGCATCAAAACATGCCAGACGCTCCGTTTATAAGCCACCAAGCATGAACGCCGAATAGAGATGTAGATTCAGCCTCTAGACTTTGAAAATATTGGTAAAGTGTATATGCGGGAGAAATTGGTGTCGAGAAAACAGCTTTGACGGATCCATTTAGAGAGCGGCTCTAGGAGCTGCTTCTTCGGGCTGGGATGCATTGGCCTCCTGCTGGGCCTCTGCCTCGCCCTCCAGGTTGGCGGCAGGGGCCTTGGAGTTGTCGATTTCACCTGGGCGTCTGGCACTGTGGCTGTAATCCAATCGGAGCGGGCGGCCATATGGGGCCTGGCCCTTCAACATCTCAAACCCAGCAATAGCACTCTCAACATCGGTGAATTCAGCGTGAGCAAAGCCTCTTGGCATACCGGTTCTGCGGTCAACAGCAACACGAACGTCGAAGACGTTGGGGATGTCATCGAAAAGGGCATGGAGGTCGCGGTCTGTGACTTGGTGGGCAATGTTGCCGACGAAGATGGTACGGGTTGGCTCCATCTTTCTCTGCGGTTGTTCATCCCTGAGGTCAACCTGAGCAAAGTTGACACTTAGTTTACGGCCTTCATATTCGCTAAGGTGCATTTCATCAATGGCCTTTTTAGCCTCCTCAACACTCTCAAATCTGACATAGCCAAATCTAGACCGCGCAAGTTAGCAACATAAAATTAAAGGAGAGTTACAAAAGGCAACCTCAGTAACTTACCCTCTGCTAAGGCCACGGCTATCATATATGATTCGGGTTCCCAAAACCTTGCCGTACTTGCTAGCGTATTCCTTCAAGTCCGCAGCGGTGATGTCGAAGAGAATGTTTCCAACGTAGACTGTGGCTTTTGGCTGAGGCTCGGGGCGAGAAGGTGGAAGGCCAAAAGAATTTCGCACTGGTCTGACCATAGATTTCTTTTCTTCGACTGCAGGGTCTCTGGCTTCTTCGGTGAAGAGTCGTCGTTGCGAGGCCCAGAGCTGGCTACCCATGACTCTTGTGAATTGGCTCAATTGTGAGCTAGCGGCCTGTGGCTTTGGGAGAAAGGACCTTGCTGCGCTTCCGCCAGCGGCGGAGGCGGCGCGGTACATCGCATGTCTCAGAGAAATCCTATACAGCAACAGGTGGTTAGCATGTCCAATGGCTTGAAATTTGGTTGGGACAAGTAATCAGAGGTAAAAGGGAACAAACATTGTCGAAGATATGTCTAAATAAAGATCTTATACAAAGTAGAGAATTAGAAAAAATAGTATCACTTAATAAGACAGATATCAAGAAGAAAATAAACAGAAGAAGGTGAAATTGACGGTCGAGGTTGAGGATGAATTGAAAATGGAGTTGAAGCAACGAAGATTTCGCAGTAAAGCAAAAAACTTTTGAAAAAAAAAGTTTCGATGGGAAAATTTGTACTTTTCTATATTGGGGTTAGTACTGAAGTTTAAATAAAATCACGTGAAAAGCTTGTAGAAATTGTGGAGTTTATTTTGATTTTGATATCAAGGCAACAGAAATAAAGCATTCGTTCATTTGGTGTATCTATCATACGAAACCATTCATGACAATGATGTACTTTTGCTTCCGGGCATGGTATTAATGTATATACGTAAAAACAATCAGTTCAGCTAAGTGCTATAAGGATATCGAATGAGGAGAGCTGCATAAACAAAAGCGCGGTATCAAACCAAATCAGGAGGCGTTTGCACCTCCTTGGTAGTCGTTATTATTCATGTATGTGGGGTGAGTGGAGGCATTGCCGTTCGCATCATATGTACCATTGTGTAGAGGATATGTTGGTGGTCTTATAGACATATTTGGCTCGTTCTCAGCGGTAGTCTGAGGCTGGTGTGTTTGCTGGAAGTCTTGCCGTTGATTTACATCTGTCCAGTTTTGGTTGGTGGGATCAAGGGCGGCTGACTGGATATAGTTATCCCAGGCCTCCTATTGGAAATTTGTTAGTAGAAGAGATATCATATTTATTTGATGCGTTATGAACGTACCCAGTCGAGGTTGAATGGTTGCATGTCTGGCATCTGACCAAACATGCCAAACGGAGAATTTAGGCCTGCCAATTGGTCTATGTTAGAAGGTAAGCCTCCTTGCTGGGCCGAGGACGTCCGATCAATTCCTATCATGGAATCTCCGAATTGAGGCGGACTTGTTGGTCCTTGGGGCGTTAATCCGCTACTAAGGAGTCCCAGAGTCATAGCAGCACTCTGTTTCTCATCCTGCGGATCAAAGCTGCTATCCATTGACGTGGTATCTCTATTTTCTCGTCGACAACTTATCTTCTCCAGAAGCAGTCCCAGAACACTGGATGCCTTCCATGCGTCCATAGACTCGTCTTTTAGTTCGTTCCAGATGTTATAGGATTGCCGAAGGGTAGCAAGCATCTCCTCCTGCATTCCGCATCCCCAGCCATATGGACTGTCACCTTGCCGCCTGTTCGCTTCTAACTGTGCTTCATGGTAGAGATCAAGGGCAAGAATGGTGCTGGCTAGCAGGAAGTCGTGGCCAGTAAGTGACGTGGTGTAATATCTTGGATGTAGGACTCTTCTGCCGGATGTTTTTTCTGCATGCAGCATTGCTTGAAGTCGTAAAAGCTCGAGCGAACTATCGATGCAGGCCCGATGTGACAAAGTATACCGTGGATTTTCACGGGCCCTTGTTAGATAAGGGCGATGTAGAACACATTGGGCTTTGTGGTAGATGCTTTCAACCTGTAATATCAAACTTAGTAAAACGAGATTAGGCAATTGACCAATAGGATAAGTACATACCGCGATTCTATTCATTATTAGAGTAGATGGTTCATGGGCGCATTCAGGAAGAGGTTTCATCTGCAGCCATTCGGGAATCATTTCGCGGGCATGCCGTAGCTCTCGATCCAACTCTAAAACTTCCTCGTACGAAGATCCTCGAAGTTTCTGTGACTTTTCCAGCACCCGACTAAAGACAGTTGTGAGTCTTGCATGAACAATGGTATACGCAATAGGGGCTGGCTGGTTAAATGGCCTTTCCGGAGGAGTCTCCTTGGAATCTTCATCAAAGTCTTCATCATATAGACATCGGGGAAAGTCTGTATCCGCGTCTCCCGTTCGAATCATACTTGGAAGTCCCGCCTCGAAGGAGAATAGCAAATCCGCCTGTCTAACCCACGTCCAAAGCCGTCGACGCATTTCTCCCTGGAAAACAGATATATTCGGAAACATTTTAGAATCTCGATGATATCCCATTCTCATCCCTAGACGGACGATCATTCCAACCAGGATCCAAACTGACGTCTCGGAGTCACAGCTCTGAGAGTACTCAGCTTGTAAATGAAATGCCAAGGTTTCAAGGAGATATCGATGAGGCTTCGTGAAGTCTGAGTATACTAGCCCTTGTGCCATTGCAATCCGATATGTTTTGGCTATATCTAATGACTTCCCCCGGAATTCTGGGGGTTCGTCTCGTTCCCTGTGGTATGATAGCATCGCCAGCCGAAGCATTGCGAAAACCATTGCTATCCAGACCATACTCGTTTTAGAGGGGTCTTGCCAGTGAGCTTCGTACTGCACATCAAGGTTAGCGACAGGAAAACAAAATATTATACGGGTACGTGCATACCTCTTTCCAGAACGTTGGGCCGTGGACAAGCGCTTTATAGATTGTTAGTTATCTTGATTTTATACATTATCAGACAACTGAACTTACTGATAGAGGGGTCGAGGGTAGCAAAGAAACGGCGGAGCAGCATGTCTGCAGTGTATTTTGAAGGGAAAGACGCCATAATCTCTGCTTCGGTGGGTAACGACATGGCGCCAAATATTAGCGCAGAGCCCTTCAGATCCTGTGTCTGCTTGGTTGCTTGCACTTTCTGCATCTGCTCCTCGTACTGCTTCTTATGGGTAGCCCAGAAATGCTTAACTTCTGAAATCTAGATAGTAAACACGTCAGTTCATCCGGTTCATGGCATATAAAGAAAGACAGGCCCATACATCATTCAGGATTGTTGACCAATGTGCTTCGGAGACATAATATGATTTTTGGCTCTGGTTATCCACTTTCATGATTCCAAACGATTTGGTAACCTGTTCCGTATCACTTTCTTCATCTTTCAAGTCGATGTCGACCGTATTCGTGCTTGCGCTCTGCGGGCCTTGTGAAGCTATACTACTATCCCCGGACACGGTAGCAATCGCAGCAGTAGGTCCAGCCGACTGTGCGCCATTGGTCATCAGGGACAAAACCAGGTTCTCCAATCTGTCTATGCGATTCTGCATATCATCTGGCGATGACATTGCAGACTGAGTATTCTGGTGCCTCCGTCTGTTGGTTGATTGGGCATATGAACAGGAAGCAATGTCATCTCTCTTCACGCAGTTTTCGCAAGGTGTAGCACGATTACATTTCAATCTTTATGGATAGGCGGCAACACGCGTGGTTAGCGAGGCTGCGTGTAAAGTAGTGCAATTGTGTGGTGTGATAATATAGGCAGCGCAACTTACTTTCGGTTTCTGCATGGCGCGCAGGACACTGGAACACGGTTCCTTTTCCGAACAACGCGATATTGGCCTTCTGGAGAATGCGTACTGGGCGACGTTGTGGGCGGGGTGGGCGACATCTTGACAGTATATGTCCACCAACTCTCTTGCGGTTGCAGTACTTATGTGGAGGGTATGAGTGGTTTCCGTGCACAAACGAAAGGAGATCGAACGAAAGAGTCACTCTGATGAAAGCCGGAGGCCCCTAAATCCGGTTATATCTGAAGTCTGGTAGTTGGTAGCCGAATTGTCGGCTCCGGGTAAGCTGTTGTAGATCACTGAGGAGGGTTGTATATTTGGACCACTGAGAGCTGTCTGGTCTACTCCGGCACCTCGAAACAGCCTCCCTGGACTCAGAGGGAGTAGTCTCGCGTAGAATATAGATGTATCCGATGGGTTTTATGCGGTACCGGAAGCACGACTGCGAGAGATGGAGGCCTATCTGGTTGTGAGGTCGAGTATATCAGCATGGTCCATTTTCATCAAAGTGGGATGAGAAGTCGGGCACTAGTTAGCGCAGGAGAGAGTATTATGAGGGTCAAGAAGGGCTTTCAGCAGTCGGAAGAGATATACTCACGGCGCTCTCAGTGGCTCTGACAGAGTCCCTTGCTTGCTGGGCTGTTTTGCAGATGTGCGCAGAAGTCGGGTTGATGAAGTCTTTTAAGTAGTAGTCAAGGGCTGATCCCGGCCGCCATGAGAAGACTCATTTAAAAGTACCCGCGATTCCCACCAGCTGTTCCGATAGTTAACAGCAGAGACAAGACAGACAGGACAGACGAAGCAGAGAGACGCAGAATCTTCCCCGGTAGGCGCCTCGAGGAAGAAGATACTACTATCGTGGAAGCAAAAGGTGACGATGGCCGACTTTACGCCGAGCTCTTTTTTCTGGGCTCTCGGAGATAAGCAGCTTTGCTCCTAACTAGTTAACTAGTCAACTAATCACGAGTAGGAGTACGAGGACAAAGCCACACAGCACGCAGCAGTAGTTAATGGCACTTCAATATCGAAACACTTCTCTCTAGAGTAAATAACATGTAGTAAAGCAGGGAAAAGAAATAAAGAGTGACGCTGATGGGAATCATTTCGTCGGAGTTCGTAACCATCGCCCGTGTAGTCGTTTCAGTGCAGTCCAAGCAACGATTTCAAAAAAAGAAGAATTCTCCCTAACTAGTAGCCGAAGGGCAAAAGGGATGGTAAAAAAGGAAAGAAAATAAGGGCGAGGTAGTGATCATAAAACATAAAGATCTCAGTAGAGAGAGTCAATAAAGAAAGTTGAATAAAGGAGGGTTAAGATATGGGTGGAATACGGTAAATATATTAGAGGGAAAAAAAGGGAGTGTTATTCCTGCCAAAAACCAGCCGAAAGAGGCGAAAGAGAAAGGGGAGATTTTAATCCTCGTCTCCAAAGCCCCAGTTTCTGGAATAGACGCTCTGGCGAGCTGGGTTGGCGCGGATGGGACGGTCGACGACGGGCTGTTGTTCCTGGGGGTTGTTCTCATCAAACTTGTCCCAGCTGGAGTCCATCAGCTTGACGACGCCCATACGGCTTCGAGAGACGGGTTTCTTCTCTTCTTCCTCGGCCGCGTTGCCGTTTTCATGCACGAATTCGTCCTTCATCTCCCACTGGGGGTCAAAGATCTTGCGTCTACAAGTGTTGCAGTTGCTGTTGTTGCTGTTACCGTTGGAGGTACCGTTGGAGGTATTAAGGGGTTCTTCTCGTTTCTCATCTTCATCGTACAGATTGTGTTCATACAGCTTCAGGCCTCTGTTATGCGCAGCACCTGCAGCGGCCTTCTCAGCTGGAAGGGGGGTTTGCTCATCCTGGAGCTTGAAATGGGTCTCAGCGTCACGTCGTGGATGGGCGATGCGTGGCTTTGGCTTGGGAGTGACGTTCTCAACCTCGTCGTCGCTCCAGCCAAAGTGACGCACCTCCTGGCCGCGGACGGGTCTTCTCTTGGGCTTCTCGGGAGTGACGAAGTCTTCAAAGTCCCATTGAGAGAGATGCTTGGATGATCGAGGACGAACAGGCATGGGACAGTCCTCGGCTTCTCCAAACTCAAAGTGGCCCGGATGCTTAGACTTTGACTTCTCGGTTGCCTTCTTCTGTTCCTCTAGCACATGAGGCTCAACCTCATCGCCGAATTCAAAGTGGCCGGGCTTCTTGGACGGTCTCACCGGCTGGTCACCAGGCAGCTTTCCTTCGCCAAACTCGAAATGGGTATACGTCTTTGAGAGGGTCTTGGGGGTACCCAGGACCTGGTCTCTCGACCTAGGAGGAGTCACCAGGGGTTCATCATCTCCCTGGAACAGGTCATTGTAGTCTCGTGGAGCTGGCTTTGCAGAGAAGGTGGAAGTACGAGACTTGGTAGCCGGCACCGGCTCCTCGACGCTCTGAGCTTCAAAAAAGGATAGGGGAGTCTCCGGCTCCTTTGCGGCCTTCTTGGGTGCTCGCTCTTCCGGCTTCTTTGGTTCAGCCTCAGCCTCAGTTTTCTTCGAGCACTTGGCTGCAGCTGCGATGGAAGAGCTAATTAGACGCTTCTGCTCCACGCTATCAGAGATTGGCCAGTTGTTCCGTGATCCAATGACATTGAGCTTTCTCAGCAGCGAAGCCTGGTCCCAGTACTGGCGGATCTGTACGATCTTGTTCTCTGCATCAAAGTGAACAATATGGATCTATTCCAACAGTTTATTAGCGTTGTCTTCTTTTTTCTTCTTCTTCTTTTGGATTAAATCCTTCAGGTTTAAGGTATAACGCACCACCGGGATTGTGACGGTCTGGTCGACGACGAAGTTATCGTCGAGGGACAGCAGATAAGGGCCCCCGCCGCAGGTGAAGAGCAAGGTGGTCTCGACCTCGAGGCAGAGGGAGTTGGCACCCTCGACGGCGTTGAGAGTGACCTGGGACTTCTTATCCAGCGTCCGGCGGACGGCCTGCAGGTGCTTGATGATGTCCTGGGATCCAGAGTGCGAGGTCGTGGTGGTGATGTAGTGCAGCGAGGCCTGTTCCGCGAGCAACTCCGGCTCTGGCCTGGCCAGGAAACCCTCGTAGATCGCCTGAAGGGTCATCGTGACGGGCAGCGACGAGACGCAGCGAGAGCTTGAGTACGATGAAAACAAAAAAAGAGTGTGACGAAGGCGGTTGAGGCAGCTCTTTAAGTAGTTTTGTGGTTTCTTGTCGCCGGCGAGACGGAGCGAGGGAGAAAAGTTGGCCAAAGGCGTAACCTCTTGCGCGCGTCTGTTGTATACTTACACGGGGGAGGGAAGTAAACAAACCACAACTTCTTGCCAGCCAGCAGAGAGACAGCAGAGAGGTTAGAGAAAGAAAAAGAGCGTGCTACAGGGGAAGCTGGTTTAAAACGGAACTCTGTCAAGCAGGACAGGAAGAAGAAAAGAAAAAGGGAGACGGAGAGACAAGGCCGGCTGGAACAAGAGGCAGACCTGGCTTCTTCCTGCAACAAACACAGGCGCAAAGCGTACTTTGACAGCAGGAAATAATAATCATATTAGCGGCAGTGCTGGCAGTGGATTCGCCATGCAGCGGAGCCCCTGGCCTAGCTTCATGCCCGTCAGTTCACGGCAAACTACGACGTTTCAGGTTCTTCCGCTTGGTTTCTTTTGCTGCCGGGGGTGAATTTCTATAGGCCCGATTTTGATAGTGATGCAGGCCGGGCCATTTTAGACTTCAGGCACCGTTGTTTCAGAGATAGGCCGTTCCCCAGAAAAGGCCCGAGGGAGAGAGCCGGTGGTAGCAGGCAAGGTGTTTCGTCGTTGGCTAGGGGGGGATGCGCCTTGGGAGGGAGCTGGGTGCAGACGCGTTTAATTTCAAATTATTTAGTTTGGTAGAGCTTCTAGTATACAAGTGTTTTCTGGTCTCACACATAGGAAGGAGAGAAGCGTAAGGATACCAGGATGGATGTACGGATGAGATTTTTTCACTAGGGGTTTCCTCGTGCCCTATGTCTCTCCATATCGCCGAACTGCGGTAGCTCGAGAACAGAGGTTAAGGGCCTGCATTGGTGAGAAGCATATCCATAATTGGTAGATGTAGGTGGTGGCTGTGCAGTTAGGATAGTTGATGGCGGGCCGGGAGCCAGCGGGCCAGTTCGTGCAAGGATAGTGAAGATATAGAAAAAATAAAAGAGTGTTCGGTTCATTACAGAGTCCTGGCAGAGGATAATGCGTCAGCCAACAGGCCATTGTAAGCCGGTGATAGCGAGAGCAAACAAACCCAAGGTAATCCTCTCTGATGCTTCCAATCGCAAACATGTTGCGCACATCATTTCGTAGTCCAATCAACTTTATTCGTAGGTTTGTTCCCGTCTCGATGACCTGATCTGCGTTATCGGTATACTGCGGAGGAGTCGAATCTGGATCCCACTTGATCTCCGGCGGAATCAACTATTTCCAAGTCAGCTTTACTTATCTTCCGTTAACCACTCCTCCCGTAGAGAGTGGTGGTAGCATACATGTTTTGAGACGAAGACCGTCAATGGCCCAACCTCGGCGAAAATGCCCTGGTTCTTGACAGAGGTGACGATAGCATCAACCTCCACCGGCAGTTAGCTTGATGCCGAAAAGAGACCTCCAAAGTATATAAAAAAGTGCTTTTTGTCTCGATCTCTTACCGTCTCTCCCTTGAACGGCTTCCAGACAATGGCACGGTAGACGATGGTATACTCTGCCAGACCGCTGCCGGGTATGATTTTGCCCTCAGAGATATCGTACATGTCCATCACGCAGACGATGTAGTAGTCGCCCGTACAGATGCCTTCCACATCGTCCAGCAGCTTCTGGCTAAGGTACTCCTTCACATGCGACCCGAAGAACGACGGATGCAGCGTCAGGACATGCTCAAGGAAGTGTATGAAGAACATCTCTGCCTCGACGCGTGAGCTTCTTCGCTTTCTTCTTCCTCCTCCTCCCTTATATCGACCCCCGGCGCAGTCTCGCGGCGCGCGTTCGTCCTGTGCGGTATCGAGGCTCGTCCACTCCGGTGCCTAATCCTCACTCGCTTCTTCTTTTCTCTTGAAGCAGCGCTTTCAGCTGCTCTGTCAACCCACGGCTATCAGTTCATCTCTTTCTCTCCTGGCACACGCTCACCCCCAGCTCCAGAGGTCAAGTCACAGACGGAATCAGCTGCCCAGACAAGACCACTCCGGCAGAGACAGCGCGCTCGATGCAGGCGACAACCGAAGCCGAAGTCCAGGTCCCGGTTCAAAACGTGAATTGTTATGAGTGTGAATGATGCTCGTCGTCAGCTTCGACTCTCTTGACGCTGCAAAAAAACACAAAACTGGCGCCTTTTTTTATACATCACGTGATATCGAAGCTTAGCCCTTGCAGGGTTTCTTTTTCTTCCTTTCGGGCGGTTTTCGTCGTGTCTTCTTTTCTTTTCGCTCCTACTCTTTTGCTGCGAGACAAGAAGCATGAACATCGAGAGCCAGCGGACGGTGGGAGAGACGATTGATGAACCGGTGTGACTGACCTGGATACGGTTGGTGAGTGGGAAGAAACGAAGATTATAGTTGTTTATTGACGACGGCCGGCGGTGGTGGTGCTAACTCGCTTATCTTCACATGCTAATCGGTATACGGCTTTTCGTTTAGTTCTTGATAACTTGCAACGTCTCGACTTCGCCCCTCGTCGACCTCCTTTGACTTCTTCATCGTAGTAAGTCCAGACTCGGGGAAAGCAATACACGATAGCCGGAGAGATAGTGGATTGAACGCTGGTTGAGAGACAAAAGCAACCATGTTGGACCTAGAGAAGCAGTTCCTCTTCGTATGTATTGATAACCCTGAATATAAGAGAGAAGATAGAGAGAAATAGGGGGGCATGGCTAACGAGTTTATAGTATGGGGCATACCACCATCATCCAGTGAGTGTTGCTCTTACCTAGATATAGGCGAAGAAAAGAAAAAGAGAAAACTAACGGGTTGATAAAGATTAATGTTATCATCCATATCACCTGCGTGCCAATTATAATGCTCTGCATGTTCCTACTGGTGGGTTCCCTTACACTGAATATAATTGCACATAATAATGGGTGTATGTATGTATATATATACTCTATACTCACCGTGTTTAAAAAAAAATAGGTGGGCAGTGCCGGCCCGCTGTTCTCTGTGCCAGAGGCCATCAGCATCCAGAATCTGCCTCCTAATGGCGGAACGATAGCAGCGTTCGTCTACCTGTTGCTGTACATGCTGATGGAACCTGTAGCCGGCACCATGCTGGCACCGTTGCTGCTGAGCGGAACAGCGTACATAAACCACCTCCTCGCCGCCTACGGGCAAACGGCCGTCTACTGGTCGCTGGCCGTGCAAGGCGTCGCCTGGATCCTGCAGTTTGTAGGCCACGGCGTGTTCGAGGGTCGAGCCCCGGCCCTGCTCGACAACCTGGTGCAGGCCTTTTTCCTTGCGCCCTTCTTTGTCTGGCTCGAGGTGCTCTTCTACCTGGGCTACCGTCCCGAGCTGAAGTCACGCCTCGACGCCGCCATTGCCAAGGAGGTCGCCAAATTCAACAAGCAGAAGGCTGAGAAGAGCAAGGCCAAGTAGAAACCATTTCGCAGGAGGAGAGAGCCAGTCACCTCGCCTATTCATATCCGTCTTTTGCTGTTGTGTTGTCCGTCGACTTTTTCTTATATCCCAAGCTGTAGATTTTAGTTTTTATATCCAATAATACACACCAATACCGTATTGTCAGCTCACACTTCCGGTTCTTCCCGCCACAACATCGCCATCACAACCTGGCTGCTCGACCTCTACAGCTTCGACTCTGCTTCTCGTCAGTGTTTACCTGCGTAGTCTTCATCGAATACAACTGCAGAATCCAAAAATACAGCCGTCTTCTGCCTGATATCGCCCTCGCCGGCCCGTACGGTCTGCGTATTTCGCGGTCTCGGCACGCCCGCATGCGGCCTAGCGCGCTTCAGCGAAACTCCAAGCTTGTTCTTTTCTTTCGCCGTCCACAAACTTCAACCTCAACTTCTCTTCTTCTCTTCTTCTCTCTCTCTTTTCTTCCGCTTCTCCTTCTTCTGCCTCAACCGCTTCAGCCATTGCGCGCCCTCTCGCACGTCTTCCCCATCTCTACTCCTTCGTCTCCCCGTCCACAATGTTCAGAAGTGCTCTACGGCAGTCGAGCCGCTCCGTGACGGCCGTCTCTGTCTCTGGCAGAGTCTCCGCTGTAAGAGTTTTCCCCTTCTCCCAACGTCAGGCCGTCACCCTCTGCGGCCGCCCTCGCCCGGACAACGCCCAATTCCATCCTCAATCGCACGGATAAGAGCCATTGAGCTCGCCGGGGCGATGGGTTCGATGGCCTCGTCGGCTTTTTGATGGCGTTGGCAGCTTGTTTTGCTCGGCTGTTTGCCAAATTGACGTTAGGTGTTGTTTGTTGCTGACCCGAGAGGTTCACTCTGCCTGCAGGTCCGAGCCGGTACTCCCAGCCCCTTGGCCGCTGTGTCCAAGCAAGTCAGATCCTACGCCGCTGAGGCCAAGCCAGCTCCCACTGAGGTCTCCTCCATCCTCGAGCAGAGAATTCGTGGTGTCCAGGAGGAGGCTGGTCTCGCCGAGACTGGTCGTGTCCTTTCCGTCGGGTAAGTCGGGCTGCTGCCCCCCAGGCCATTGAACCGGGCCCAATGGATGGACATCTGCGTCCTTGGTTGATACTGCTCGACGATGATGATGCTGACTTGCTGGTTGATAGTGATGGTATCGCCCGTGTCCATGGTATGCACAACGTCCAGGCCGAGGAGCTTGTCGAGTAAGTCTCACTCTGATATACGAACAATAAACATCTTTTTTTTTTTTTTCCATCATCAAACTAACAGCAATTGAAAGGTTCGCTTCTGGCGTCAAGGGAATGTGCATGAACTTGGAAGCCGGACAGGTCGGTGTCGTGCTTTTCGGTTCTGACCGTCTCGTCAAGGAGGGTGAGACCGTCAAGCGTACCGGAGAGATTGTAAGTTTTGATATTGACCACATCATCTTACGGCACACTCCAAGATACTAATATATTTACCAGGTCGATGTCCCAGTTGGTCCTGAGCTTTTGGGCCGTGTTGTTGATGCCCTTGGTAACCCAATTGATGGAAAGGGCCCCATCAAGTCTGCTGAGAAGCGCCGTGCCCAGGTCAAGGCCCCTGGTATCTTGCCCCGAAAGTCCGTCAACCAGCCCGTCCAGACTGGTATGAAGTGTGTCGACTCCATGGTGCCAATTGGTCGTGGTCAGCGTGAGTTGATCATTGGTGACCGTCAGACTGGAAAGACTGCCGTCGCTCTTGACACCATGCTCAACCAGAAGCGATGGAACTCCTCCAACGACGAGACCAAGAAGCTCTACTGTGTCTACGTTGCCGTTGGCCAGAAGCGATCCACCGTCGCTCAGCTCGTCAAGACCCTTGAGGAGAACGATGCCATGAAGTACTCCATTGTCGTTGCTGCTACTGCCTCTGAGGCCGCTCCTCTGCAGTACATTGCTCCTTTCACCGGTTGTGCCATGGGTGAGTGGTTCCGTGACAACGGCCGCCACGCTCTCATCATCTACGACGATCTCTCCAAGCAGGCCGTTGCCTACCGTCAGATGTCCCTTTTGCTTCGTCGTCCCCCAGGTCGTGAGGCTTACCCCGGAGAGTACGTCAATCCCCCAAATTCTTTTTTTATATATATAAACGTTCGACAACTAACTTGAAAATAGCGTCTTCTACCTCCACTCTCGTCTTCTCGAGCGTGCTGCTAAGCTGAACGACACCCACAAGGGTGGCTCTCTCACTGCCCTTCCCGTCATTGAGACCCAGGGTGGTGATGTGTCCGCTTATATCCCAACCAACGTCATTTCCATCACTGACGGCCAGATCTTCTTGGAGTCCGAACTTTTCTACAAGGGTATCCGACCAGCCATTAACGTCGGTCTTTCCGTCTCCCGTGTCGGTTCCGCTGCTCAGCTCAAGGCCATGAAGCAAGTCGCTGGTTCCCTCAAGCTCTTCTTGGCCCAGTACCGTGAAGTCGCTGCCTTCGCCCAGTTCGGTTCCGATCTCGACGCCTCCACCAAGCAGACCCTCAACCGTGGTCTCCGTCTCACCGAGCTTCTCAAGCAGAAGCAGTACCAGCCCATGGCCGTCAACGAGATGGTTCCCCTCATCTTCGCTGGTGTCAACGGTCTCCTCGACAACATCCCCGTCGAGAAGATCCTCGCCTGGGAGGCTGACTTCCTCGCCCACCTCCGCTCCAACGAACCCGAGATTCTCGCCAAGATCGACAAGGAGGGCCAGATCAGCAAGGACCTCGAGGCCCAGATCCGTGACTGCATTGTCGCCTTCAACAAGAGCTTCTCTTAGAGTTAACCTGTACAACAAGACAAACAAACCGTCCATGTGTGTGATATGATGTGTGTGGGCATGCATATGGCATTTGGTCACCCCTCAGATTCCCTTTCCGTTTTCCCTGACTCTATGTATAGAAAGATAGCTTGTGTAAAATCTCGAGATCAGAAAACACTTATCCCGCTCTAGTCAGAAATTCCATTTGTAATTTTGCCGCTGTTCAATTATCTAGTTTCCCTGTTATCCTGTATTTCCTTTTCTTTCGTCTTTCCTGTACTTTTTCCCCAAAGCCTGCTTGTACTATCAAATGTCAATGATATATACACCGGGGTTGATGTCGCTCATGGCTATCGCGGCAAAATAGAACCATACTCCCTCTATAGATAAATAAACATACCCACCCCTGTCCAATGATATCTACTAGATCTATATTTATCTTACAAGGCATAGTTAATAAGAGTCATCGCCATCTTTACCATGCAAGTCGCTAAGTATAAAAATTAAAGAGAAAAACTCAATTAAAAAAAATATATTTCCGCCACTTTTTTCTTCATACCAACTTTTTTTTACACTCGACAAGCAAACAAACCCACTTCAACCTGCTAAGTCTCATAATTATACCTATTCATCATGGCTACAGAACCTGAAAGCGGCCCGGCATCATGCAAAGTCGTCCTAGCTGCCTCTGTGGCCCGCGGGCTGCTGGCCGAAGTCACAGAGGGGCGAAAAGCACTGGATAAGCCACCCCACCTCGTTGGATTCCTTGCGAATACCGACCCTGCGGCGCGGATGTATGCAAATTGGACGGAGAAGACATGTAAAGAGAAGTAAGTGTCTCTGTTGTTGTCTATCTGATATCTGCCGGTGTGACCGCACCCTGCTGCATTGCTCGCGTGCGCATACCCACACCCAGCCGCATATACATCTACATCTACGACGCATCAAAAAGCTAACAAGTCCCAAAAATCAATAGTGGATTCCGCTATACCTGTCGAGAAGTAAGCAAAGATGAAATCGAAGACGCTATCATTGCCGCAAATTCCGACGACGATGTAGACGGTATAATGGTATACTACCCCATCTTCAACAACCGGCAAGACCAATACCTGCAGCAAATCGTCGACATAAGTAAAGACGTCGAGGGCCTGAGCCACAGATACATCTTCAACATGTACCAGAACATACGCTTCCTGGATAGTGCCCAGCAGCAAAAGTCCATATTACCATGCACGCCGCTTGCGGTTATCAAAATCCTCGAATACCTGCAGATATACAACACTATACTACCGTACGGAAACAGGCTGTTCGGTCATACGATTTGTGTAGTTAATCGGTCTGAGGTTGTAGGGAGACCGCTTGCCGCGTTGCTGGCGAATGATGGTGCGCTGGTATACAGCGTTGATATCACTGGTGTGCAGAAGTTTACTCGCGGAGAAGGGCTCAAGAAGCGCAGACATGAGGTTGAGGATATGGAAGGGTGGACGTTGAAGGATGCTGTGCCGCATTGTGATGTGGTTGTTTCTGGTGTTCCGGGAGAAGCATTCAAGTTTGACGAGAGCTTGCTTAGGCCTGGTGCCGTTTGCATAAATTTCTCCAGTGAGAAGGTATGTTACCCTTCCCCTGATGCGCGGCCACGAATGATAATTTGTTGCTGATGCGTGGGTATAATGTAGAATTTCACTCCAGCTGTTAAGGAGAAGGCATCGATATATGTTCCGGCAATTGGAAAAGTCACTATTGTGGTTCTTCTCCGAAACCTACTGGTGCGTTAATCCCTCGTTTAAGCCTCTTATTTTGCCTGGGTATCATTTCTAATCAATATGACCGTTTGCAGAGACTGGCTCAGAACCGTAAACCAGAAGGTGGCCATCCAGCAGACGCTGTTGAGAAGCCAGGTACTCTTGAAGGCACTACGAACTCGTCAAGCTGAAGGTAAGCTGGCTGTTCAAGGTATGAGACTGTAGTTTGAAAAGATATAGACCAAACCCATTTGAAAAATGAATTATTTATTTCTGTATTCATGAATCAAGTCGTCTTAAGCAAGTCTAAGAACTTGGAGGATTGAAACTAAGATATACGGGGGTATCATTTCTGCTCGACTTCATTAATGGTTTCAAATATCTTCTGCCCTTGCAAAGGACTAGGTGTAGAGTCAGACAGAGGCATCCAGAACACGAATGATAAACAAAGGTATCATTGTTTTTAAAGTCACTGCCTATACATTAAAACCAACTTATTCCAGTTCTTGCATGTTTCTTGGATATTCCAATTCAAACTTACGCCTCGCACTCCGACGTTATTTAGAGGAACCTTCCAACGAAGATGTCTGTACAAGCTTTATCTCATTCTTGAGCCATTCTGAAAATGGTTCAAAGTGGAGGGTACCGTCTGCTGAAAACCACTTGGAAAAAGGAGCCTCGATTGTTTTTTCCTGTACCACTTTTCCCGAAGCAGAAGTATGTCGGAAGTGAAGCTTATATGTCGAAGATAACTTCTTCGACAGAGACTGTATTTGGAGCTGTCGTAGAACCATGTTAGACATATATATAATGAAGGGAATACAGGGGACTATACCGTTTCTCCCTTGGGCGTGGTCCCTTCGAACACCTGCCTGTTCTCAACCAGCCATACCCACCCAGTGTATACGGTGTTTAGTATGAAATATGCTACTACGGCATATATCATCCATGGCGCCGTGAACTCCCAACCTTTCGTATAGTCAAAGTAGAAAGAGACTCCAGCAATTGTGACAGCGCAATAGCCTATGAAAAGACGGATATCTGTTTTTGTGTGGCTTGCGACAAATCTGTTGGGTTTAGGGAGGCCGAGGGTGAGGTATGTTGTGATAGCATCGTCGGAAGTATTCTTGAGTTCTAAGTAGTTATTAGCGGACTGGTCTTCATCATCCAATGGTATATAGTATTTTGAAGGCTGGGTTCGATCCGAGAATCAGGGACATACCAGACGAAGCATACACAGGAACCGGTACTGGAGAATTGAGCGGCATTTTGAGGATATTTGACAATTAGCAGTAGGTACTTCGGAAAAAGCTATGCAGGGACCTGATTCTCTCTCGGGAGTATCAGAAATCAAGCTGTGTATTGGTCGGGGTCAAATGTCTAGCAGGCACAGGATAGAGCTGCCGTGTTCAATTCGAGGTTCAGCGCAGGAAAGTTATTGAAATGCTAGAAATGTAGGAGAGTACTATAGCAAATCCCATAAATATAACACTCCGTCAGCACTGGCCAAAGCGAACAAATTGTCCGCCGTGGTGTTATGTGTTTTGTCCATCTAGAAGAGCAAACTGGCATCATCAGCTTTGGCGATAATCTGTCACGTGACGCATGTTTGGCCCGGGCCGTCGAGGGATCGTCGAGCTTATCGAGAAGTCGAACATGATGCGCCTTTCAAGCAGACACTTCCCAGGTACAAGCTTATAGGCAGTTAACATGGCTGCTCAAGGCCTGGATCAGACGATCCTGCGGGATCCAGCTCTTTTGTACGTCTTCCTAATGCTTCTAGTGTGCTAACGATGCTGATTGTTGCGCAGTTACTGGATCCTGGTACCCATCTCAGTGGTCATGGTATGTCAATCCCATTACATCCACTCAATGAAGAGCTCTGGCTGATGCACACAATCAACAGATACTCACTGGTATCCTCCGCCATTATGCCACGATCTTAATGACCAGCTCGCCCAAACCAGCTGCCAGCCTGGCTGAATTCAGGGAACGGCTTGCTCTCTTCCGTGGTGTTAACTTGCGCACCAACGCATCTGCCGTTCTTACTCCCTCGAGCTTAGCATCCCGAAAGGCATATCTAATCAACGCTTATAAGACTGGTGCCTTCTTGAAAGACCCCGAGAACCGCGGCGCTGGTGCACCAAACCCAATGACGGACCCCGCTGGAATGGACGCAATGATGGGGATGATGAAGGGGAATATGGCTATGATGATCCCACAGACTCTTATTATGTCATGGATCAATGCCTTCTTCTCTGGATTCGTTATATGTAAGACATCCTCAGCTGCGAGACTACCGTATCACAAACTGGGAGATTGGACTAATTTCATGCTCGTTATATAGTGAAACTCCCATTCCCCTTGACCATCCGATTCAAATCCATGCTTCAGTCCGGTGTCATGACTCGTGATCTTGATGTCAGATGGGTCTCCAGTTTGTCTTGGTACTTCTTGAACCTGTTCGGCCTCCAGTCCGTTTTTGGGTTTATCCTAGGTAGTGACAACTGTAAGTATAACCACTTAACACTTTGATTATATTTACTGATAGTTTGAGTAGCCGCCGGTCAAGTGATGCAGCAGGTAGGCGTGACGAATCCTGCTGTGAATCCATTCCAACCTGGTCAGGACCCGGAGAAAATCTTCCAGGGAGAGGCTGAGAACATCGAGGTGATGGAACATTATTGCATCCTGGATGGAATTGAAGAGCGGATATTACAGAAGGCATCGTAAAAGTCCTGTTTGGATTTTTACTACTGCGTAATTGAAAATTCCTTGACCTTTAAGATGTGTACAATGGTTAAAGAGACCTGAATTGATACCACGACTAAATATATATTCCATGCACCACCGAAATGCTAGGCAATAACATATTGCTATATGAGACACCAGAAAATTACCTTAAACCCATTCATACCCAGATACTCATAATAAGTGTTTCATAAGTAGTTGAGAACTCCGTTGATAACCCAAACTTCACCATTGGCGACCTCGGAGATCACGTCTTCAACTTCGATGTTACCGGGGTGAATCTAATCAACAGTTAGAAGCAATTAAACGGGGAACCACTATACATATGATGACTTACATATTTCTTCCCATTTTTCTCTTCCCAAAATATTTTCGCGCCTCCCAAAGTCCGAACCTCTTTGCCAGCCTCCCAGCAGCGCTGCGGTATCAAATGAGCCAAGATGAATTTCTCCAAGTTTTGGTTTGCTCGTTTCTTTCCCGACTCCCCTTCATACGCCTCTTGCACTCCAAAGGTGGCATAATCACTAGGGTTCTCCCACGGCTTATGAGGTAAGCCTTGGACGGCAACGTTGTTCGGGGCTAAAACTATCGTATCCTGGGTATCATTATCCAGACGGTTTGAGATATTCTCGTCGCCTCTGGTCATTGAGGCGAAAACGTTGACCTCGCGAGTCTTCCCCAGGATATCTGAAACGCGGACACCTTTGCCACCAACAGCCTCTTTAGACGGGGGCATGACGAACTGCGGCTTGGAGTCACGGTCCTCGGGGAACCTCCAGTTCAGCCTGTCGATATTATTCCGCTCCGGATCGAGGTTCTTTGGGCTTCTATAATCTCGAGGCAGCAGTCGCCGTCTGGATAGGACGGGAGGATTCCAGTGGGAGGAGCAAACCGCAAACAGAGACGTCAACGTAAGAAGTGTATAGAGAATGACAATTTTCATAGCGAGCAGCAAGGTTTAAGAACACATATTATAAACCGGTTTCTAACTTGTGTCTGGTATGGCATAGGCGGTATTCAAATCCATCAACGTCGCCGCCGTCGCTCTTTTGATCTCCAGGTCAAGCCTCCAGATATGACGTCAGCAGATCTGGGTCACGTGCGGCGATTGCGGGACCGCTGCTACACGTGATCTTATCGATAAGCATGTTTAACTCAGGATAAACTGTAAGTGGGAAAATATTTGGACTTCGTGATGTAGGAAAAGGAAGTGAAGAGGAAGACGAAGACAGGCAGCAGACAAGATGGCTGAGCTGCAGGACTTTATGCTGGTGGCCGAAAAGGACCGGGATGAGGCAATGCGAATTGCTGGCGCTGTTGCGTCAAGTGAGTTTATTGTTTGAGGCTCTTATCGTGATCCCTAGCTAATCTGCGAAATCTAGAGCTTGAGAGCAAACAGACTACACTGATAGACATTGTGAAGTCGTTGGGGGAATATATCAATGATGAAGACTCCAGTATACGTGGAAAAGCAGTGTCCTACCTGACGGCGGTGATAATAGCTCTCCCAGACAAATTCCTGAGCCGACAGCAAATCCAAGTTTTAACGACCTTCTTTTGTGCCCGGATTGAAGATGGCGGTTCTATCACTGGCTTACGCACTCTTCACGGGATGGAGCGATTTGATAAGTCCATGGCTCAAGACACATTTCGGGCGTAAGTGCATTGTGAACTGGCTGTGATTAATTGCCATTATACTAATTGTGATTATAGCATTTATCAACATTCCACGGAATTCCGATCCCGCCCACAGTCACAACGATTGCAAGTCCTCCATCTTCTAAATGAACTGATGGCAAAAAGCCGAGAAGGTATTCTATCTTACATGGAGAACCACTGCGAATTAGAGCGGGACTGATGAAATCTAGCCATGCGTGAGATGAATGATGAGTCACTTATAGGAATCGTGGATCTTGTAAGCGGAGAGAGAGATCCCCGCAATCTTATGATTGTTTTCTCCATTCTCAAAGTAGTGATGATGGAGTGGGATATATCAGGCCATACTCAGGTAAGGTCATACTCTTGATATTGAAAATATGATTACTGACACAATTGATATCTCAAAGGATCTATTCGATTCTGCTTATAATTACTTCCCAATCACATTTAGACCTCCTCCAAACGATCCATACGGCGTGACTGCACAGGATCTGAAAGATAGACTGCAGGCTTGCATAACATCCACGTCTCTCTTTGCTCCATATTCGTTCCCGGCCTTACTAGACAAACTAGACTCAACATCAGCGAATGTAAAGGTATGGTTCAGCATTTCAATACGATTGTTTCCTTAATTACAACTAACTCTTATTGTCCTCAGCGGGATGCTTTGAAAGCACTCAATGGCTGTGTTGAATCATATGGCCCGGTAACCATAGCCCGGTACTCCATTTCCATTTGGGACTGTCTCAAGTTTGAAATACTCAACGCTCAGGATGAAGTCCTTCCTGCAGAATCTCTGCGAGTGCTACATTCGCTAGCTTCAAAGCTACCAACATCATCAGTGAATGGATCCAATAACTCACCGCTTGCGCAGCTCCTAAAGCCGGTCACCAATGAATGCATTGATCAATTACGAGAGCCACTGCAGAAGCAGGCAAAACCGGCACGGCAAATATTGAGCTCGTTATCATCTGCATCCGCCCCTGCCTTTACCTTGATAACTGAATCCGTTATTCGCCCTTTGATTAGCATCTATCAAAATGCTGACGGCATCTCGAAGCAACGCGAGATTCTGGAAACCTTCGTTGAGCTCTTCAAATCGGCTGTAACAGTCTTCGGAACGTGGACTACCATTACTTCTAACTCCAGCCTTCCAAACCCGCTTGTGTCTCACAAAGACGTCCTTACACAAATATTCAGTAAATCGTTAATGGGTTCCGCAGAAGATGAAAATTCATTCAAGCTCTCAGCGTTGAAAGGTCTCATAGAACTTTCTATTCTACCAAATTTCCTGGAGGATAACGAAATCGGTCTTTTTGTGCAGTACTTCGATGATATCCTTCTCCACGAACGAATTGTTGCGCATGGAGAATTGCGCAAGGAAACCATCAATGCTCTGGCAAAGATTTCAAAAAATAAACCACAGCTTATCATTGATATTACTTTCCCGGCACTACTAGCGACTCTACCTGGCATGGAAAATGGAGATGACGAGTCCTATCTATACTCCCTTGACAGTCTGGCACGGATAAGCATTGAAAAGGAGGTTTTCAATACCCTTGTCAGGAGGTTACTCAGTAAGCTGGATGTTGTGATCAGCTCTAATGGCAAGGGCTCTTCAACCTACACCGCCGCTATATTAACGACGATTCTGTACGCAATGGAGCATCGTCAAGACCTAGAAAAAGACCCAAACCTGAACTTCTACTACGAGAAGATTGTCCAATCTCTATGCGGGCGCACTGCTAAAGCGTCTACAACGGGAGGAACGGCCCTGAACCACCCGCGTGTACTAGATACCCTGGGACGACTTTGTAACCTTATCATCTGTCACTTACCACGAGCCACCCAGGATGAGGTATGCAAAAACACATATGCTCTATTTACAACCGAAGAAGAATTTACACCCGCTCTATTTTCAGAGCAGCCCGCAACTCTCCAGCAAAAACAGATGATAATTATATCAACCTATATCCTTGCCGCATTGCCGAAGGATATATCGCCACTGCCATATGCCAATACCGGAATCGAACCCCTTTTGCAGCAAAGCGTAAAAGCTTCAATATCAGAGGAATCCGATCCCTCCATTCAGCTTGCATTAGGCCGCCATGTTGCTCTCTTAGCCAACAAATTCCTTTCCAAGGAGGAAATTCAGTGTGCTTCAGATATTTTATTTTCACTAATACCGTCATCATCACCTACGGCCCTATCGCAACAGACTATTCGAACCATTTTCTGGCTAGCAAAAGCTTTAATACTCCGCCTAGCACCTTCAACGACACAGATACTAACCTCCTTGTTGGACCTGTTGGATTCCACGGACAAAAAGACCAGCACCCTTTGCGCTAGGGGATTTAGCATTCTCCTTGCCGAAGACAGTATCCTTAACGTTAAAAATGGAGCTATTGTTCGTCTTCTAGTTAAACAAAAGGTATTTACAACCGTTATACCTTTGATATCGGCCCGGGTCCACGATGCCAATACATCTGCCACTACACACGACAAATCATCATTGAGGAAATCCCATTCTAAAGAATCATACCTTACTGCCCTGTCCGGCCTCTTATCCACTATACCATCATCTTTAGTAATGACCAAGTTACCGACACTCTTACCTCTGTTACTTCAATCCCTTGACCTAAATTCCGCCGCTGATCCCTCGCCCCCCGAATCATCGCCCACAACCAGCGGCAATATCAAATCCGCCACGCTCAAAACACTTGCCATTGTTATTCACGAAAACGGGGTCCAGGTGATAAACGAAATTGGCTATGTGGAAGATCTCGTTACCCGCCTTTCAAGGACGGCAAAAATACACAGCAGTACTGAAACCGATGTAAATTTGCAAACACCAGATTCATCAACGTCAAAGAAGGCTGGCGTTAGCAATGCCGGTAATCCAGCGAAAGTTCGAGTTCAGGCTCTTCAATGCCTAACTCTACTTGCAAATAACCCTGCTGGACAAGGCGCGGAAGGGGAGAATAAAAAGGCACTGTCTACAGTGTCTCCCCTACTACGATTGAAAAAGACTGTTCTCAGGGACTTGCTGTGTGTGCTTGATGACCCTAAGCGGGATGTTCGTAAGGCTGCTGTGGATGCAAGAGCAGCATGGCTAAGAAATGTTGAAGATGAAACAAATGATGGCAACGATTAGGGAAGTAAATTCCTTAGAAATAGTACCACCATTTGCCTAAAAGAAGGCATAGGAGTTCCACGCATTTTGTTTTTTTGTCCCTACAGATGTTGCCCTTTTCGGCCTCACTTCGTTACATATCAAAAGTTAAACAGATACCTGTTAGAATTTTGATTAATAGCTTTGAGTTCTGAAAAACGGACTATTCTTCAATTTACAGTATAGAATAATAGCAATGGACGTATTCAAATATTGTTAGGGGCAGGCCATCATGCCCTAGAAAGGTTTAAATTTTATCTACAAGTAAAATCTACTTTATTCTAGGTAGTTAGGGGTAGTGGTAGAGCGTAGCTAGTTACCAATAAGGGCCTAGGTCATCCTGGGTCGGGGTAACGCTCCTGCTAGCATCATCATCGTATTCTCTACCACCTCCGGCAAGGGAGAAAGCAAATGGGCCGGCTCCAGCAGAAGCTAATGGAGATGGGTATTTGTCTTGGATGAAATTGGTAGGCGTGTAATTCGCCCAGCCAACAACGTCAATTTTTTCCACGACCTTTCTTGCAATGCGGAACAGGCTCCCTATTCCAGATGAGCCTATAGTTCGCTCAGCAGTTGTCAAGAATTCATCTGATCGGTCCGTCTCGGTAATGTTACCACCGAGATGGGATTCAGCACCAAGCAAGTCATCGGAGCGCCACGAATCGACCCGTTCTCCAACAGTGAGGTTCTTGTTTGCTTTGAGAACTTCTTCAATAGCCGGGCTGACAATAGACGCTTCGAACCAGAGTCGAGATCCTTCAACCATGGCCTCGGAACCGATAGACCGTACCCGGATGGCGTTTTTGTCCATAGGGTTGTTACCAGAGATCAACCTCTGGACTTCAGTTATCTGGAGGAACACAGGCTGTTCACAGTTGGAACCTGATGTTCCGGAGCTATCAAGTACATACTTCCCAGCGTACTTGTGGCGTGTGGTTCGTTTCATTAGAATCTTAGTGATCCTGAGTGCACTGTCCTCTGGAACGCGAGTAAATAGGATAACTCTTGTCCGGTCTGGCGGAATATACAAGTTATCAACAATGCATTTGACAGTCTCCGCAATTCCACTCTCAGGTGCCGCAATATATTCTTGAGTTCCTTTGACTGTGGCTCGAAGGTCCCAGATATTCAGGGGAAAATGAATATTTGCCGCTCCTAAGACGAATTCAGGGCGATTGATGGTCACAGCCCCAGACTCATCGATAACGATAACAATGTCGGTACTATCCTTCGTTTGACAGTGAAATTCGTAGCAAACTTGACGAGTTGTGGGCTCCTCTTCGAAATAAGGCTGGGTATCAGATTCATCCTGAGCTCCAAGCTCGAAAAAATAATCAATATCTGTTCCAGAAGTTGTCAAGAATTGGTTGAACACCGTAGTGAGACCTGGAAGTCCATGTCGTGGTCTGAAGAGAGAATTCCAGGCTTTGAGGTCAAGCGTTCGTCCTGTATGAAGCTTGGACACCGAGTTGGTGAGGATAAGACCAAGTTGAATTTCCACAGACAATGTGCCAGTAAAGTATTGAATAGCATCGAAAACAGGCTTAAGGCAACCAAAAATATCTTTGATATTGTTGGTATCAATATTTTCTTCCTTAATAGCCTTTTCCTTTTTCCACTGGCTGGGTTCAGGGGCTTGAGCAGGTTTAGATGGAGATGGTGTTGGGATAGGTCCCCATGCTTCCAAATACGCGGCCTGTTTTCTTGCTTTTTGCTCAGCTTTTGTTTCACGCTTGACAGAAGCCGCTGGAGCTGGAGTTTTTTGCCCCATAGTGCGATGGAAGACTCTAGTAGCTTCTTCCCCGTCGATAATTTTGGGCCTAAGAAGTTCAAAAGCACTAGACGAGACCTTAGTGGAGAGCTTTAACTTCCGAAGTCTTTCTTCGTTCGACATTAAACCATTCGCAGGGTCTGTGTTCTCTTCAGTAGGCTGCTCTGAGGAGGGGGAGGTTCCTATAATCCCAGGAGACCTCATGGCCGAAGAGCCAACCGCCGGTGAGGCAGGTCTGGGCTGGAGAGGAGGAATGGACGGAGCCAACACCTGAGAAAACGACATTGATTGCGTAGAGGGAGCCACAAACTCAGTGTCATCTGTCGATGTATCGATAAGTGTCTGTACTCTTCTCCCTGTTGATTTTCCATACTCTCTTGGACGTGGATACATAAATGGAACTCCGTTTCCTGGTCGACGTGGGGGTGACTTCTTTGGATGGCCATAAGCTGAGGTATTGAATGACTCTGGTAGAATGTTCCTAGGAGGAGGGATAACCGGCTGTTGCGAAGTTGCTTTGGGGGACCTCACCTCGATGGGAGTTGCAGCCGGCTTCGGGTCTATTTTCTCGACAACGTGCTGTTCAGTGATGGGTTGCTTGACAATGGACTCCTGAAGAGGTTTTTCGACAATAGGCTGTGGAATTTTCGGTGCAGTTTGGACGTTAGCCGGAGGTAGAGGTTGACGTCTTTTTAGTCCCGAAGGAAGCTTGGGCGCTTCAACGATTTCAGCAGAAGGTTCAGGGGGGAGGGTACTATTTGGTTCGGAGACGTTTGTTCCGACAGCACCAGCCTTCACGCCTTCAGTAACCCATTTGTTTACAAAGGATGCTTTCTCATGCGAAAGCCAAGGGTGTTCAACAATTTGTTCATCTTCTTGTTCGCAGTCGGTTTTCACAGACAGGGCCGTGGCTGGATCTTCTTTCGGGGCGGGAGGCAAGTTTGCAAGTACTGACGCATCTCCGAGTTGTTGAAACTTGAAATCATCCCAGATGCTGGCCTGTCCTCGTCGCTGCTCTGTAAGTCGTGGTGGGAAGGCAATGTTCTTCGGGACTTTCAGCTCACGAGAGTCTGGATCAATAACCTCCATAACGGTGACGGACATTGTATGCAGGTGGTTGATCAATTTTGACTCGGGACCATCAACCAAGACACGTCTGATAGCAGCATCATTCAATGTCCTGTACGGAACAATTCTAAGTCTGAACTCTGTAACACCTCCCACATGGAGGATGTTCGCAACTTGAGGAGCCACCATTAGAGACTAGATAGTAGGTATTAGATCGTATGCCTGCTATAATGATGCCAGGTAAAAGGCACTTACTAAATATGAGTAGACGTTCGAAAGTCGTTCCATGGCATTGTCAGCTTGCCATTTCTCCATGCTAGTAACTCGAATTCTCTTGTTGCTTGCCTCAATATCCACCTGTGCTCCAGTTGCTTGGGATATAGCAGTAAGTATAGACCGAGGAGCTTTTATAAAGCACTCAATAGCTGCTTCATCCTCCTGCCAGTATTTGACTACGACAGGAAGCTTCAATGCCTCAGGAGGCGGTAGCTGCTCAATGAGTTGATCTTCCTCCTCGCAGCATGCTTCACCACTCTCCATTTCGGGCCCGGCTGGTACCGAAAGTCGTGTAATTTTTGGGCACTATTTACCTTGTTAGTTGAAATAAGGTAGTTTGCTAGAACATAGGAGTCAAACCTCCAGCAAATCATGTTCCTTCTCTTTCTCAATAAAGCTGGCCAAGTACTCGGCAACTGCAGAAGCAGACAGAGATACACTGCAGTTATCAATGGAAAACACCTAGTTTTGTCTCCTGTCAGCTGTATTCGGGGAAGATTATAGATATAGCTCATGCACCCACATCGTGTTCTGACTCATATTTGCAGAATCCATCCGAGCTATGAGGTAACCCCCTAAAAGGCAAAGTTAACAAAACAACTCTTTTCATCTAGACCAGCTAAGAGTATAGCATCTTTTGGAGGAACAATTGCTGATATCTCACTTGAAGAACTTGGTCACCTGATCAATCTATATCCATTAAATACAAAGAGTCGAGTATCAGCAGCCTATTCATGAATTAATTGGGGTTGAACAACTTGTTACTTACACCCTCAGTTTCAAGCCTCCATATGGATGCAACAGTCAGTCTATGGCCCGAATCCATGGCTGAGGCGCGTTTTTTGAGCTGCCCTCCTGGCAAAACGGAGCTCAGCCTGTCTTCCTATCCTGAACAGCCTTAGATGAGGAATCAAGAGAAAGCAAGGTTGCTCAAGGGAATACTAGAAACTAGCAGATTGCAGAAAGGAGCTAAGACTTGAGCTAGGATATCAACTCTATAGTCATTGACCTGAGGTAAAAGAAAGTGTAGAGCAAAAGAGCAACAAATCTGATGAGAAAGCAGTGAGTTGTCAGCATTCACATGTGGAATAGACAGGCTCATTCACTCAAGTCCAAGAAGAAGAGAAGAAAAAAAAGGAAGAGATTTCAGCTTTACTTACTATCTTTCTGGTTGTTTTGGATGTAGCAGAAATAAAGAAGCAAGAGCGGGAATCCGCAGGTGAAACACTGTGCAAGAGCTGAGCAGAAGAGAAAAACAGTAAGAAAGAAGCAAAAGCAGAAGAAAATAATAGAAAAAAATGAGATGATGAGAAGAAGAAGAGGAGAGAATAAAAGGAGTGAAAGAGGAAGAGTGAAATAGAAATTTGGTAGATGTTCTACTTCACTATGTTGGTGCGTTAGCGCCAGCAGACATCCTCGCTAAGCAATGTGGATATTGATATTTGATTACTATCTTAGATAGTCTTAGATAAGATGGTTATGGGCATTTAAAGCAGATAGTTTATCCGAGCTGACTGATTGAACCAGCTGGAAGGATAGGGATGCTGTATCATGAGAAGACAGTGTCCTGCCATTAAGCTCCAGATGGTTATTGTGCATAGCACACCATTTCTGACCATAAGATGGATATTCATTATCGTGTATCTTATTGAATCATAAAATAGGCAAAGAGCCAACATACTGATGGTGTGAAAGTAATATAGATCTCAAGTCTTGTAAAAGATGAGGTCGAGTGAAGTCGAATTAAGGCTGGCATTAAATTTAAGCCGGCGGATGGACCCATAGGATCCTCCGGATAAACCTTCAGGGGGGATTAATATGCAGAGTATTAATGGTAGAAGAATAATATATTAAGTATTGAATAAGCAGTTCTATCTAAGTATCTGCACTAAAGTCGAAGAAAAGATATACTAATGCAACCAAAATGCCAATATCAGAATCATTATGAAACTGTACAAGACAGGTATCGAGGAAAATGCAGGTAAAAAGCAAAACGAAAAAGGCGATGATGTCCTTACATATTTTTGGCCTCTCCTGCCATGTCCTTCCTGGTAGATGGGAGGGATGTAGAAAGAAAAGAATCAAAAAGGGAAGTTGGTAAAAAGGTACAACTCAGACACCCTCCCTATGACTAGTCTAATGCTGTTTGTTTCATGCTTTTTCATTCCCCACCAAAAAATGTATTCGTACAGAAGAATCAAAGGAACAAAACGTGAGATCGTGGTTGAGGGAATATAGCCGGAGATAGCGGAGGCCGAGAATGAAAACAGAAGTGGTGGAAGTGGCGGAAGAAGATGTGAAAGAGAAAGATTAAGAGGGAGAGACTTCCGGTCGATACTTTAGGGGTGTCCTGGACGTGTCCGTCGAATCATATGTAGGGCCGTCGGGTGAGAAGGTGCAAATGCAAGGATCGGTGTCGGTAGGAAGATGAAGCCGTCCAATCCATGGGGGATGGGGTTGAACGTGAAACAGGAAAAAAGTCAAGTAGGGTAATAGAAATCCAATCCGGGTCCAGTGGTCATGATGGATGATCCGGTCCAACTCCGAACTCCGGCAACTTGGAATTATGCGAATGAAGTGAACAAATGGTAAAAGGTATCAAGGAGAAAAAGGGAAGTAGAAAACAAGAAGGAAATCCGATCCAGCGGAACTGTTATACACGTCAAACCGGGTGATTTGACCGAGAAAAAGTAAAAGGCGGAAGGGAAGAGGTGGGTGCAGAAGCAGGAGATAGCTATTATCTGGCACCTTTGACGTTTTGCTTGACGTTGACAACCCATTTCATCTTGTCGGTGGCCTCTCGGGCATCTCTCAGCACAGTGTCGACGTCTCGATCGTTCTGCCGTCCTTTCTCCACAAGGTTCTGTAGCACTTCGTCACTGCGCGATTTGTACTCTTCATATAACGAGGTGATTTTCTCTGCCCGGTCACGAGCAGCTCGTATCTCACGGTCCTTTTGTTCGATGATAACGTCCAGTCTGCTGAGCTGATTCTGCCGTTCTTGCTCGCGCTTTATTAGCTCGTCAAAATCTTTCCTGAACATGCTGAAACGGGACTGAAACTCGTTTCTGTCGCGTAATCGGGCCTGGGAGAGAGCATCATATTGGCATTGAGATCGCTGGGCGATTTCCTGTGCTTCTGCAAAGGCTCGCTGGTGCTCTTCGCGTTGTTGTTGAGCAAGTTGTGTGGTTTCCGCGGCATCGTTTTCGGCCTTTAGACGTCTGTTCTTTTCGCTTTGTGTTTCTGATTTGAGATCTTCTATTTTCCTGTCCTTGCGTGCGATTGTTATCAGACTTGCTTCGTGGGACTGCTCGGAGCTGCGTAGTCGGTCGGTAACGGTCTGTAATTGCTGTTTTAACACTTCGTTCATGCGCTGAGCTTCTTCGGCTCGGGTTCGGTGGAGGTTGCATTCACGAGTGAGACGTGTGATTTGTTCCTGGAGATTGTGAATGACTCTGCCGGATTTACCGGTCATGGCGTGGCCGATGGCAGAAGACCATTCTGGGGGTGATGTTGAGGGTAGGATAGGATCGCCATTAGTAAGTGGAGATATCGGGCCAACTATCGCTTTCATTTTTGTCAGTGCCTGCCTATTCGAATAGCATTAAAAAAAAAAAAAAAAAAAAAAAACAAAAAAAAAAAAAAA